AAAACAGGTATGGTATTTTATGGGGGAGTTGCTTTAAAGAGATGACTTTGTCTCTCCATTTCTGAATAGTAAAACAGGGTACATAATAAGGGTCTTTTATTCTTAAACGGACATACTTTGTTCCTGATCCAAGATCTGTTAAAACGCTTATCCAGAGAAGAGAGTGCAATGATTGCACTGATAGTATTAACAATTTATTGATCAATTACCATATACCAGGCTAGTCTAAGTGTTTTACATATGTTAATACTAACTCAGTCTTCCTGATAATGATGCAAAGTAGCATTCTTACTTTTGTTACCACTTGCAGATAAAGAAACTGCAGCCCAGAAAGTTTAAGTAGTGTGCCCAAGTTCATCCCTCTGAGATTAAGTCCAATTCAAGACCAAGCTCTCTTGACTCCCGGAGTCTGCAGTTTTTCTCATTCTGCTCCCGAAAGTGGATCTCCAAAGATCCTGAGCTCCCTAACACAGGAACGGTGAAGACACACTTCATTTACAGGAAAACTAATCCCTCCCTATCAGAATACGCTAAGTTTATGCTGTACTAACATCGTCAAAATCTCAGTACCTTAACACACAAAACGGTGTACTTCCTGCTCAAGCAAAGTCTGCTGCAGGTCCAGGTGGCTGTCCTGAGTAACAATCCTCTGGGGCCACTGAGCCATCCGGCCTGAGAGTGGCTGCCCCATCTGCTGGCTACATCACCTGAAATATGTTCTGGGATGCTGTGGCAAGAAAGGAGAACACTGTGCAAGTAGTTTTAAAATGTGGCCCAGAAGTAATACAACTCGTCCCTACTCATAGCTCATAAGCCAGAACTAGCCTCGAGGCCCTGCCCCACTGGAGGGAAGTTGGCACGTTCAGTGTCTGGAAGGAGAGCCCAACTGGGTAGCAGAGAACAGCATTTATATCTGCCACACCACTTAGCTCTCAGATTCTTCCACTTAACATTAATTACCGACAGCTACAGTATGGGGAAACGGTGCTACAACATGGTTAAAAGCCCCTGAGAGAAAGTCAAAGAAGAACAGTTCTTTGGACAAAAAAAATAAATCGAGGGGCAGTGTAGGGCTGGCAGATTACCTGGTGAGGTGTCACTTTTGAGTGTCCCACAATCGTGGCAAGACATTGGCCCTGCACCCACAAATTGCTGTTTGTATGTTGGAGAAAAGCTTCTGGAAGTAAAGAGAGGGTTTGTCTTGCTCCAGTCCCAGAGAAATGGAGGAAGGCTTGCAAAGGGGCACCGGTGCTCCCTGAATGCCATGTATGTCACATATACCACTGTTTCCCAGGCCTGTCACTCTGGCATTGACTGCCTCATTCTTCCATTTCAGCCTTTGCGCTG